CGAAAATGCTGACCCCAGGTGTTGAAATTGAAGAAGATGGTAAGGCGAGTCATCAGTGAGCTACTGGAACGAAAGTACGACGATGAAGAAAAACCGTTTAAAAGGAAGCACGCGATGGAGTTACTGGACTACTGCTTATGCACGTATTTCACTTTTAACGGCCATACTTATGAGCAAATCCAGGGAACCCCGATGGGATCCCCGATCTCCGGCTACCTGGCTGAGGCGGTACTACAGGAACTGGAAACTCGTGTATTTCGGTCCTACAAGCAAAAATTCTGGATGCGCTATGTGGACGATACCTTTGTCGTCCTACACCGAGATGCGAAGGAGGCCTTCAGAGGAGAATTAAACTCCATCTTCCCACAAATCCAATTCACAATGGAGGAAGAAAAGGACGGAACGCTCTCTTTCCTCGACGTGCGGGTAACGAGGCAGGAAGATGGAACCCTCCAGACCGGTGTTTTCCGAAAAGCTACAAACACAGAGAAAATACTCCACTACAACAGCAACCATCCGCTGTCGCATAAACGCAGTTGCGTCCGGACACTTTTCCGCCGCATCAACACGCACTGCAGCACAGAGGCCGAGAAGCTACAAGAGCGTGCATCCCTGTGGCACCTCTTCCTTGTCAATGGATACCCACGTAGCTTCGTAAACAAATGTCTGTTCCAAAGACACACAAAGACTGAAGGTGAGGCGAACCAAAAACCTGAGGTACTCCGTGTCTTGCCCTACATGAGGAACGTCTCTGAGGCCACTGAGCGTATGCTTAGACCACTTAACGTGGGCGTTGGACACCGACCGGAAGCCACCATCCGCCGATTAGTCATGCAGCCAAAGGGTAGGCTGCCCCCTGAGGACATGTCCGGTGTCATTTACCGCGTCAACTGCCTAGACTGTCAGGCCAACTATTGCGGCATGACAAACAAACGACTTAAAACGCGCATACATGAGCACACCTTAGCCGTCAAGCGGAAAGATGCGCGCTCACACGTCGCCATGCACAGTCTGGAAAATGACCACCGGTTTGACTTTGACGGCGCCCAAGTGCTCGGCCGAGCGGAAAACAGACTGGCGCGAGAAATAATCGAGGCCTGGAAAACAGACACCAACTCCATCAACCGCTGCGTCGAACTACCGGCACCATACGAGGCCGCCAAACACCACCTACGCACCAGGGGAGGCCCAATGAGGATAGAAGTTGACGGCCCTATCAGGCGAGAGCCAGAGGGACCTATTTAAACCGTGTAATTTTCTAATATTTCCTATCTCCGATGATGCGCTCGAGTATGAGTGTGAAACGTCAGATGAATAAATCATCATCCCCAGAGCTCGCCTTACCATCTTCTTCAATATATATATATATATAT